AATATGCTCTTTTAATTTCAGCATTGATGTTTTATGGCATTTCAATAACTAAAATTTTATTTTAAATCTCTTCAAGATGAAAAGTTGGACACCATTTCTTCAGAACATTGAAGCTCTAACAGTTCAGGCTTTAGAGTCTAAAGTTCGGAAAAATGACTTATTTTCTGAGTCTTCTTGCCACTCTCAGTATCATATAGATTAGGGCACATATTTTAAGTTCCTGACAAAAGTGGCACCTAATAACTAGATGAAGCTATTCCATCTTTCCGCCATCCCAGCTAAAAATAAAAATATATCTTGTGATTTAGGCTCTAGAGAAACTTAACAAGCACACTGCTTCTTTTAAAGAGAAGGAGAACTTCCTGAAAATTGGGGATTCTAGCTTTCCTTTCTGTGTTATTCATTTACTATGGTTTCCACGTTGTCTCAGTCTCCCACTGCTTCATCCCCAAAATGAAAGAAATACTGGTTCTAACCTCTGCCTTTCTCTGGAGAATGAGGGGATAACAAAATGCAAGAGACTCTCCCTGCAAGCTCACTTTCCTTCCATCACCACTCACCTACCCTTTTTCTTGACCAGGGATCAGAACTTCAGGAGAACATATTATAAATGTTTATGTCCAAAAGATGTCAGCTTTGAAACTGTTGTGATAGCAATTGTATAACACTGCTTAATGTGATTGAACTATGGAGATGAGCTCCTAATAAAATGGTTTTGGGGGAAAAAACTATTAAATATGCTTGCTTATTACATATCCCAATGTGCATTATAAAGCATCAAAAATAAAACTGTTAGAAATAAACAAAAAATGATGTCAGCTTTCTCAGGAAGGAGGCATCACCGTAAACTGCCAGGCCTCAGGAGCTAACTACAGGACAACTAACGATGCTGCTTGCCTGCTTCTCAGGGCATCCAGAGACAACTTTAAAAAAGAAAAAGAACTGCCAGACTTCAAAGCCTGAGAGTACATTTATAGCAGGCCTGAAGCAAATATGAGTCATTCCTGGGAAGCACAAATGGTGAAACGTTTCACTACTAACTGAAAGGTTAGCAGTTCGAATCTACCAGCAGTACCTCAGAAGAAAGCCCTGGAGTCCTAATTCTAAAATGTCACAGCATCAAAAACTCTGTGGAGCACAGTTCTGCTCTGAAACAGTCATGAGGCAGAAACACTGAAACATTGCCATGAGTCAGAATTGATTCGTTATCAAAAGGGAAATGAGGGTGGCGTAGGAGTGGGCAAACAGTGGGATACATCATGTCTTAATATAGCACTATGGGAGCAGAACCCAGGAAATGGGCACAGGAGGGCAGTGCCTGCCAAATACAGAATGTGACACTTACATACTCTTATTCTCCCCTCTAACTCATGGCTGCCTTAAAGCTGTATTCCTCTTCCAGGGTCTCCGATTAGCTGCTTTGCTCCTAGGAACTTCAGTGCACACCAGGCTGCCCATGTGGAAAGGTCCTGCTGGGACTCACTGATTCACTACCAGCAGGATGAAGAGGGCCAATACAAGACAAAGTCTCTTTGGCCGCACAAGGTAAAGTGGCCTGGGACTCAATGGCTGCCCACAACTAAGTGGAGGAGGCTAGAAATGTACGATCACATTCTCTTTCTTCTTCTTTCTTTCTGTTTTTGTTTCTTTGGGTCTTTTTCAAGTTTCAGGCACCCCTCAAATGTTTAGTGATCTTTATACCTGATTAGAAGGTTTGTGCACACTGGTAAAGCCTGTTGACTGGCTGCATTCAGTTTTAGGTGATCCCTTGGATCACTTCATGAGGAAAATCACTTCTCGTCTGATGGTCAGTTTTCCCCCAAGAAGAGTTCTTAATATGTAAGGCGGTTGGGTTCAGTTGGCATTGTTTAGTTGCTAACCCTCAGGGAACTCAGCTACAGGTCTTACTGTGCTATATTTTTTAACTTAGCTCCTTTGCCCTAGGTATGGTTCTGTGCCCTTGATGGATCTAAGTGCAGAATCTCTTTGGTTTATTCTTTCTAAAGAGTAAAAATCTTGAGCTTTCAGCCAAGGGAGGGGTAGAGTGGCATAGCGGTTCAAACCCACCAGCCGCTCCACAGAAGAAAGATGAGGCTCCCTTTTCTCTTCAAGATTTTGTCTCAGAAACAGTCAAAGGAACCATTCAAGTCAGAACTCACTCCATGGCATTTGGATTAGCTTTGGGACTTGGTCCTTCCAACCTGAGTGCTCCTGGTACAAAATCATTTCCTTGCCCCTAACTAAAGTTCCCAACTTCCCAGTAGTCTGCTGTCTTATATTATGCCACTGTGCTTCTCAATTTTCAACATCTTTTTTTTCCTTTGTTAACCTCTACTGTTCTCTTTCTTATAGGATTATGATTTTTTTTTCCCCTTTAGTCATTCTGGTTGGGTTTTACAAAAGAGTAGAGGTATTGTACATGTCTAGTACAATGTTTAATCAGAGGTCACTTGTAGCATTTTCTAGTCACAACAGTTTACAAGGCCTCAAAATGCTATAGTTTAAGACCTAGACAAATGACTTAATTAAAATCATAAATAAGGTCTCTAGAACAGAAAGTTCAAGCAGAATCTACCTGGCAATAGGTTAAAGACACTAGTGCCAGATGGTTAAATTGTCTGATCATCAGGATAATTTGGAAAATTTTAAAACAAACTTTTATGTTCTATTGTAATCCTGATAGTTGAAACAGACTCTCCAGGGGGTAAGAGTATACTTTAAAGAATCATTTCTTAGACAGGAATGCAACGGTTCTAGTTTTCTCTCATGGCCTAGTATAGCTTCCCTAACTTTGTCTCTCATTCAGTTCAGGAAAGATACACACACACACACACACACACACACACACCCCACATCACCTTTCTCCTCTCTCCAACAGCAATCAAATATGCTTCCTGTCTCTTTTTCTTCTAATGCTCTTCTAATAGCTTCTGAATCTCTGGTTCAGAAGCTGTAAGTCCAAACTCAGATAGCCTAGTTGAAATGCTGGCTTTCTTACATACTAAATGTGTAATGTTCACTTTCTCTACCTGTGAAATAGGGATACTAGTAGTACCAAACTGATGGCACCCTGATGACGATCAAATGAAACAATACATGTTATGAGTCTAGTACAAATTTAGCTTTAAAAAAGCTTTTACAAGTAGAGTTTTTACTGTGGTCAAGATATTGGACCTAAACTTCTGAAATATGAAAGGCATTATGAGGAAATAGATGGAAAAGCTCTTTATCTCAGGTAGCTAATGGTGTGGTTGAGTAGTGAAGACGTATGCACATACTTGAAAGGATGTAGATATCCCAAAGAATTCCAAGATAGTACCTGATGGTGTTGTTTGGCACCACCAATAACCCAGAGATAAGGAAAGATCAATATGCGTCAGGATTCAAGGAATGTTACATGGAGAAAAGACTTGACCTTCTATCTACTGAGGCTTTCAGGAGC